ACCACGTATAATAACCTAGGTATATCGTAAATTTACAAAAGGCGTCTGTAAATTCGTGAAAAAGGAAATGCTATCATTTCCACACCACCCTGAGGTAGATAACTTGGCGCGTTTTTTTTAAGTGGTTTCCCCAGTAGGCCTAATCCACTCTCATTATTTAAGGCAATAACTGTTCGAAGTGGCTTCCTTCTGCTTGTAAACAGAGTTCAGCTCTTCGAATTATCTGTTGCGTCGCACGGTGCGCCATGTTCGGCGTGATGGTATTAAAGGCCGCAACAATTGCTTCACGTACTTCATCTTCATTACCATCACGCCTGTGCTCGACTGAAGCTTTAACATAGCCCCAAACAAAATAGTCGAGCACGTTCAAATCTGGCGACCGTGCCGGCCAGGTGATTGGGCCACCTCGACCCATCCACCTTTCCGGAAAACGCGTATTTAAAATATGCCGTATTTGACGAGCGGAATGTGCCGGAGCTCCGTCGTGTTGAAAAACTAGTATTTGCCGCATGTGGAGAGGAACATCCTCCAGAAGTATCGGCAAATCGTTTCAAAGGAAGTGTCCATACGCCTGTCCGTTAAGACGTCCCATAGAGGGTTTTACGAATGGGCGAGTAACGGGCCAGTACTGCTTGCCAGAGTTGGAGTGCTGGCGCAACACTAGGAAAAGGTACTGGCACAGCAATGGCTACTATCTGAATGATAACTAGGGTCCAATGCTCGTTTCATGATCTAGCCCAGGGTTGTTCACCAGTACTGGTACATGAACGTTGATCAGTAATGGGCCAGTGTTTGTTGCAGTCTTGGCACAGTATTAATATCCAGAATACCAGCGTCAAATTAATGTGAGGCAGCCAACTCTCAACCAGAATACTGTTCGCCAGTACTTGGCCAACGCTGGTTAAGATCTAGCAATTGATAAACTGGCATTATAAAAAATACCAACGTCAAACTAATGTGAGGCAGCCGACTCTCAACCAGAATATTGTTTGCCAGTACTCGCCCAGCGATTATTTATGTTTTTGTATAATTACAGGATAACAAGAGGAAAACGAAGGTCTGAGAAATGGCAGGTAATAACTTTATGAAGAAATAAATTATTTATTTCACTTTTGTTTCGAATTATGTATTAATATTATATATATATATTGTATATATTTATATATATATTATTTATAATATATAATATTTGTAATATATAATATTTCTAATATATATTTCATGTATATAGTTAATATTAATATTTAATATAATACTTAATATGTAACATAGAACGAGGTAACATAATAATTGTAAGACTTGACAACATTGACGAAATCGTCGCAAATCGATGTCGGAAACAGTGAAATCCGCTTTTTCCTGTCGGCCGGAACGAAATTGACAACTACGTATTTATTGCAGGAATTATCACGAACTTTCAGGTGTTCCTGCGAATGCAAAGTAAAACGGTAAGTAATCGAAAATTTCAATAGTTTATAAATTGTAATGTAACTTGTAAAATCAATGACATAGCTTCTCAGCTACAAATTCCCTGATTAACTATAAGAGCACAGAGTATATCTAAAGGTTTAATGTATCAAGGTTAAGTAATATCGTCGTGTAATTCGAGAAAAGCAACGTATTAAAAAAAATTCAACTTATATTTTCGGTTCCAAATAATTTTATCATATACGCCCTTATTATCGATTAAGCTTACTTTTTGAAATATTATGTACCCTGAGTTTTCCATTTTTCGCATAATATTTTTACAATGTGATAAATGGAGAATTCAGCGTACATAATGTATGAAAGAATAAGGTGAATCGAGAATAAGAGCGTACATGATGACATTACATGGAACCGAAAATATAATTGTAATTTTTTTAATATGTAACTTTTTTCCGAATTACACGACGATACAACTTAATCTTGATAAATTGAACCTTTCGATATACTCTGTGCTGTTATAGTTAATCAGCGAATTTTTCAATGGAAAGCTACAGTATACAGTTTATAATATATAGTCACTAATAATAGTTATAAATATAACACTTTGATGAAATACAATGTTATATATATATA